AGCAGGAGTAAGATATTATCTTACTCCTGGTAGTAGTAGTAGTAGTAGTAGTAGTAGTAGTAGTAGTAGCATCAGCAGCAGCAACAGCAGCAGCAGCATCATCATCATCAGCAGCATCATCAGCAGCAGCAGTGCAGAGATACACTATCAGTCATTATTCATAGAATGCGCGCAAAAATTTCGCCTCGGCGCTTGCGGCAGAGATGCCACGCATCCTATACAGCATCGGATTACTGTCTGTGCGTGCGTGCGTGCGTGCGTGTATGTAGTATGTACCAGTGATGCCACTCATCCTATACAGCATCGGATTACTGTCTCCCTGGGCGCGCGTGCGTGCGTGCGCGCGTGCGTGCGTGCGTGCGTGCGTGTATGTGTGCGTGTGTGCTGGTCTATGCGTACGACTACGTGCGTGTGTGTGTGCGTGTGTGTGTGCGTGCGTGCGTGCGTGCGTGTGCGTGGTTGTGTGTGCGTGTATGTAGTATGTACCAGAGATGCCACTCATCCCATACAGCATCGGATTACTGTCTCCCCGGGCGTGCGTGCGTGCGTGCGTGCGTGCGTGCGTGCGTGCGTGCGTGCGTGCATGCGTGCGTACGTGCTGGTCTATGCGTACGACTACGTGCGTGCGTGCGTGGTTGCGTGCGCTTGCGTGCGTACGTGTGTGTGTATGCATACGTGCGTGCGTTTGTGTATGTGTGTGCGTGCATGTGTGCGCATGCGTGTGTGCGCGTGCGCGTGCGGGGTTGTGTGTGCGTGTATGTAGAACGTGCGCGTGCGCGTGCGCGTGCGTGGTTGTGTGTGCGTGTATGTAGTACGTGCGCGTGCGCGTGCGCGTGCGCGTGCGCGTGCGCGTGCGTGGTTGTGTGTGCGTGTATGTAGTATGTGTGCGTGCGCGTGCGCGTGCGTGGTTGTGTGTGCGTGTATGTAGTACGTGCGCGTGTGCGTGCGCGTGTGCGTGTATGTAGTACGTGCGCGTGCGTGTGCGTGTGTGCGTGTTTATGTGTGTATACTTGTACAAACGTGTTTTTCATAAGACTACGCAGACAGCCCGCGGCGTTCCCTTACCAATGACAGCCACATTATCAAGCGCGCACCGCAGCACCAGGGGGCGCCACCGTGCGGCGGCGCGGTACTGATCTCTCTACTTGCCACGGTCGGTTAGACGGACCTCGCATCTCATTGAAAATTGGCCTTGTAAGCAGCGACAGGGACGTATGGTGTCAGTCTAACGCTCTATGTGATTTTCGATGGGTGATGGCTTCGGCAGGTCGGCTTATATGTGCGAGTGAATGTGAAAAGAACGAGCGTGAACGCGTTATTATCATAAACCCCGTCGACAGCGAGGGAGGGTGAACACACTGACAGCGAGGGAGGGTGAACACACTGACAGCGAGGGAGGGTGAAAACACTGACAGCGAGGGAGGGTGAACACGTGTTTTTTCGCCCACCCGCGTTTCCGTTTAAGCTTGATTTTGTTACTTCGAAAGAGTAATCAATAGCATCGCTGGTATTTTTGTTTCGCATCGCGCCGTGGGCCCGCTACGGCTACGTACATCGGTCTGTAACTGGCACCCTCGTGGGAAAGGCTGGTATAGGATATAGCATAGCATTATAGGAATAGCAGCAATCCCTGCCAGCCTCGACGGAAGTCATCAACCTATCTGTTTAACCTTGTTAATTCCGCCATCTTTATTGAGCTAGCAGTGAACGCAAACCTTGCCTATCGTGCCATGATCATCGAGTAATATCATAATTGTCTACTTCGAATAATAACGTTCCGCTTGTTGGCGTCATAAAATCGTAAGGTTTTATCATTTATAACGTTCGAAATGTTCTTGCGGAGGCCTGACATTCCCATAAACACTTCTCATTCATCCGTGCGAAAGCAAATGAACAGGGTATGTTGGTAACGGTGATGATATTGTCGAACGGTCGTATCTGGAGTAACATAATTAACAGAATATTATTTAATTATGTTAATTATGATACTCTAGACATGATTAAAGTAATTGGCAATTAAAACAATTAAGGCAATCAACGCAAATACATGCACACTGACGGGCAAAGCAGACATCTCGCTATTAAGCCACCTCTCCCTATGCAGTAGACCTTCTCTTTGGCTTTGGTGGTTTTGTTGGAAGTTATTATATAGTGAATTTGATGTAAATTTCACTGAGGGTTTCAATCCCGCAACCGGTCAGCTGGAGACAAAGGTCATTCATTCATCGGAAGATGCAGGACGCTGAAGTGAAGCTCGTCACTGGCTTCAGTGAGCATCGTGTAACGATAGACGCTTGAGTGTGAATGTCGAGCAACGATCGCCCGGAGCAGCATCCATGGTTGTAATAGATCGTCTGTAACGTAATGTTTGACGTTACCTAGCTTGTCGTGCGTGAGTGTTGGAGGGCAAGGTGTCAATTCCACACAATTTACGGTGTGACGTCAAACCTTGGAGTAATAAGCTGACTTATTACTTACTGTTAGCTTATTACTTCAAGGTCAAACACACTTCTGCCCCTTCTCTGATCTACAACATTTGCCTCGTATCATCCCCCCCCAATTTTTCCCCTCCCATTCTCTTCTAACTCTTCCCCTTCTAACCTTCCCTCTCATTCCATCCCCTCTCGTAACTTCCCCTCACGCCCTCCTGTCCATTCCGTTAACTCCCCACTCCTCCCCTCCCCCTCCCCTCTCTTCCCTCGCCTCCCCTCCCCTCCCCTCCCCTTCCCCTCTCCTTCACTCCCCTCCCCTCTGCTTCCCTCCATTT